GGCCCTCGTGATGCTCCTTGATAGCGTTAGCCATACACAGTCACGGAATTTGGGCAAACCCACCAGAAGTCACCAAGAAGTTAGGCACACAGCTGCAGGGTGGGATGATCCAAGGCCTGGAACATCCTCCAGAGTCACTCATGGAATAATCTGCACATCTTTACAGCTCAAGTTAATCTTGTGAGTACCAGTTGAGAGCCCTTCCTGGCTTTGCACTTAGGATGGGCTCCTCAGCACCCCTAGGCTGGCTCAAGTTCTCAAGCTCCATGACGTTCCTCTATTGTATTTCTTTCCTTCTAATAATGATCAGGATTCTGATGAGCGTGTTGTGTAGCAGATACAGGATTTCTCTGGGTCTTCCTTCCTCGCCAGCCAGCTCTGGTCATCTTTTACCCATTTCTGTACTTCCCTTTTATCCCCACTTCCCATACATAATTACTTGTACACAAGCTTTTAGTTTATCTTTTCCTAAGTGCTGAAACTGGATTGGGCACCATGAAGATTTGCCACACTGTGGACTGAATTCTTGGTAGACTACAATGTCCTTGATAGAAATATGTCTAAATTACATAAAATTATAGTTTTTAGAAGTATTCAGCTTGATTCATTTTCAACCAAAACGCCGTAGACTTCAATCTCGGTGAAGTATGTCAACAATCACAGCAAATCAAATGGAGAGAATACATGTTGGTTACTTATCACAATATGCGAATCCTGGGGCAGGCTTCCTGGGAGATGGTCTTTCTATCATCCCAGGTGTCTTTGGATTAATGTGCACAGATGGAGGATGTCCGCTGATTATTTGGTGCTGTTGACATTCTGAAGGGAAGCAGGGGATGTAGCCTGACAGGAAGCCACCTAGACAGGTAACAATGACCTGAAACAATCAGCAGGTCCCCTCACCTCCCACTGTCCCAGCAGAGATGAAGGTGCCTGGAGCCCTGCTGCAAAACAATGTGGCATGGCCCAGTGGAAGAGGGACAGGGGGAGCCATTTGGCTGGTGGGGCCAGCATTTCCAGGCAGGTGGCCAACCCTGGACAGAGCACAGAAGGAAGCCGTACTGAACAAAGCCAGGAGACCGAATATGAGACCTCTTCAGAGAGTCCACAGATGTGATCTGTGGTCTGGCCACACGGGGAGCAGGGGCAGCAGTGCCTAAAGAGTCTGCCTTTGGTGCTACACGCTCCCTGGCCACCTCTCAGGGGCTGAGCCGCTTACACTTGTCAGGGATGCTCTGATGGGCTTCTTAGGGTGGGGAAGAAGATACCACCCGATGCTAAGCTCAGGTGGGCACAGATTCCCTCGTCTGCCTTATAAGGTGGGAGGAGGTGTTAACTATGGTACTTTGTCTGCCGAGTGAGGTGTGCTGGATGCTGTCCGCTCCCCCACAACCCAACAGCCTTCGCCCCTCTCGGTCTCAATCTTTCCACTAACTAAATGTTGAAGAAATATTTTAAATACGGATCTAAAGTTATGCACTACAATTCATTATCCCACCTCACTTTATACACAATATAACCCAGTGATTAAAAACAACAGATTTGGAGTCAGAGAGACCTGGGCTCGAATCCCAACCACCACTTACTGCTCTGACGTTTGACAATTCAGTCTCTCCAAACCTCGGCATCCACGTTTGAAATAAAGGATGGGAAAATTCATTTCATAGCAGTGCGGTGAGGATTACATGGAATGGAACTGAAAAGAGCCCAGTTCCACGCTAGGTCCTCTATTACTTCCAGAATATTCCAGGCGTGCCTTACTGAATGATAGCTGGAGCCCTTCTCCTGTTCCTGTAGCTGCTCCTTCCCTTGGGAAGCATCCCCTCCCACCATGCCGGGTGGTTCTGCTGGTAAAACATCTCCAGGCCATTCTTCAGGAATGTATATGATTCCAGTATTCCACAACGAGCCAGTTGGGCAAGTTTAGAAATCCAGGTGACTTCGCATCTCCCACTCACCTGGAGCGCCAGAGAGACTCTTTCTTCTTTGTCCATCTTCTTATGAGAAAATCTTAGAATGGGTGTTCCCTGAAAGAAAGCAGGTCGCCCCACCTCGAAATAGATGAACATCCAGATTTATACAGAGGACAAACAGACTCACACTACCAAAAGGCAAATTCTTTTAGTACTTTTAAGAGAAGGAAATAACACAGACTTTAATGTCTGTGGACCCAAGTTTAACTTCTATACCTACCACATAGATGGCTGTAAGGGCCCAACGAGGGAACATAGGTGAAAGGACTTTATAATACAATTAACTTATTAGTTATTATTATATAATTAAATTTACAAAAACATATGTCTGTTGTATAAGGGAACCTCACTTAAATGAGCTAGCCCAAGCTTGTTTTTAAAGGCCCTATTCTTTTTTTTTTTTTTTTAAGATTTGATTTATTTATTTGACAGAGAGCAAAACAGCGAGAGAGGGAACACAAGCAGGGGGAGTGGGAGAGGGAGGAGCGGGCTTCCCGCAGAGCAGGGAGCCCGATGTGAGGCTCGAACCCAGGACCCTGGGATCATGACCTGAGCCGAAGGCAGACGCCTAACGACTGAGCGACCCAGGCGCCCCTAAAGGCCCTATTCTAACTCTTTAAAAATGTGGGGTGATTCCAAGAGGCACATATTATGGGGACAGAATAGGACAAGATTTATGTCAAGGTGAATGTGGACTGACATCTGTGGCAAAGAACACTTAGGAAATCCCTTCATTAGGATCCTGGTTGCCCACCTGTCATTTCTGATCTCTCTGATTTTCATTAGCATCAGGAGGTAAATAAAAATATGTTTGAGTATCTCAGTGCATGATTTTATATAGTTTTTGGTACTATTTCCTCTGACTTCCCATGTTACACTCCCTCCCTGTCAAAGGGGGAGCTGAGAAAAGTTACAAAGTGAGTCTTCTCTGCCTTCCACAAACACCCCCCGTGCACCCTAGCTGTGTGATACCTTGTTCCCAGGGGGTGAACTTCTCTCTTCAGCTTCACTTGGCCCTGATGGAAAGCCTCCCTCTTTCCCTTTCTCTCCCATTGCATCATCCTGGTCCCTGCCAGGTGCTTTCTCCTCCTCCGGATGTCAGGATAGTTTCAAAGGGTGCTGTGAGAGAGGGAAAGCATGCCTGGGTGAGGTAAGTGACTTTGACCAGAAGCAGTCATAACAGGCCAACGAAAATTGGCTTCCTGTTTTCCTCATATCTCTTCCCTGAGCCTCAAGGGCTGACCTTAGTTTCTCTGTCTACACCTCTTTAAGCACTTGAATTAATTGCAGGCTGATTAGGAAATAATCTGTCCTTAGTTGCATTCCCAGGAGACAGACCTCTGTGTGAGGTGGAGATCTGTGTACAAGACTTTTGCCGGGGAGCGCTCCCAGAATCCCACCTGTGGAGGGTGAGGGCAGCAGGAGGGCAGGGGAGCATTGGATCCAACAAAGTTCTGGGCTGATCTCACCAGGAGCTCTGCAGTTCCTAAGGCTCTTCAGAGCTGTTCTGTCTTGAGGCAAAGACATGGGGCCTTCGCACCTGTCAAGGGCTATGTATTGCCCCTGGAGAGGGGCTGTGCCCTTGAGCTCCTTGGTTGGCTGGAGAGAGGCTCACCTGGGAGCCCTCAACTGCCAACAGTCCCAGCAGCTGGGGAAAAGAGAGCCTCAGTTCTGAGGGGGCATCTGGGTGGCCCTTCACACCCATTACAACATCTAAAGTGGTGTCCTGACATTTTTTAATGTTCAAATTTAAAATTTTAAAAATAAAAATGCCATTGTAAGTAAGTGTGAATTGTTTAACATGGTTCTATCCAAAAGTATTTTTATATATTCAGAAAGAGTAAGCCACGCCCCCTGAAGAAATAATTTTGTCACTACGCGGCCACGCTGTAAAATACTGAATTTAAGGTAAAAAGCGTTCCTATTTAAATGAAGAACTGATGAAAATGGGTTGAAAAACTTACATGGCCATATCAATTCTCAAACAGGTCTATAGATTCAATGCAATCCTACCCAAATCCCAGCTGACTTTTTGTAGAAATTGACAGCCGATTCCAAAATGCATATAAAAATGCAAATGACCTACAATAACTAAAACAACTTGGGAACAAAGTGGGAAAACTATCAGGGCCCAATTTCAAGGCTTATTATAAAGCTACAGTGAGGGAGAGAGTTTGGTGTTGACATGGAAACAGACAAATAGATCAATGAAACAGAGAGTCTGGAAACAAAGTCCACACACAGAGACAATCAGTGTTTGACAAAGGTCCTAACATAGTTATTTGGTGAAAAGCTAGTCTTTCCAATAAATGGTGCTGAAACAAATATCTGTCTGCACCCCTCCCAGAAAAATGAACTTGGATCGATACCTCATACCATGCAAAAAAAAAAAAAAAAATTAACTTAAAATGAATCATAGACTTAACTGTAAAACCTAAAACGATAAAACTTTCAGATAAGACAGAGTGATCTTTGTGGCCTCAGGTTAGGCCAATTTTTCTTACAGATAATACTAAAAGCTACATTCATAAAAGAACAAATTGATAAATTGTATTGCATCAAAATTTTAAACATTGCTCTTCAAAACACTCTGTTAGGTGAGTTAAAAAGACAAACCATAGACTGGGAGAAAGTATTTGAAAATTGTATGTCTAATAATTTACATCTGGAACACGCAACGAGCCTCCAAAACTCAACAATAAGAAAACGAACAACTTCCCCTAAAACAGGGAAAATATATATTTTTTAAAGGTTTATTTATTTATTTATTTTGAGAGAGAGAGCATGCAGGGCGGGGCAGGGGGAACAGGGACAAGCGAGAGAGAACCCCAAGCAGACTCCCTGCTGGGCATGGAGCCCAAGCCCAATGCAATGTGAGGGTCGATCCCATGACCCCGAGATCATGACCCTGAGATCACAACCTGAGCTGAAACCAAGAGTCTGATGCTTACCCACCCAGGTGCCCCAAATGGGGGAAAGATTTGAGCAGATACTTCACCAAAGATGCTGGAATGGAAAGGGAAGGGGAAGGAGGAGGAGGGAAGAAGGGAAGAGGCAGGATGTGAGGGAGGAAGGGGAGGAGGGGGGGGAAGAGAGGGAGAGGGAGAAGCAGGGAAACTCAACTGCCTTGGAGGGAGAGACAAGAGTAGCCCCATCACCAGGGAAATGAACTGCAGGGCTTATGAAGCCACACTTCTGAGGGTCTCTTTTTGAGGGGCCAAAAAGAAGCCTGTATAGAGAGTTTAGGGTAGCCTAGCCAGAAAGAAGAAAGCTGTGTTTATCTTAAAAAGGACATGGGACAGACGGTAGGACGGATATCTCTGACAAAAAAAAAAAAAAAAGTTGAGATCATGATAGAATGGTCTCCCTCCCAACAAATTGCTGAGGCTTTGACTTCACAGCAATCCCACTGAAGTTGTCTTGAGATACCAACCAGGGCAGCAGTTAAGATATCTTTACTTTTAAAGTGTACTCCCAGCTTCTGCATTCCAGTGAAATCAGCCCAGCCTCTGTTCCTGGCCTCCCCGCTTGCAAGGTTCAGTTGCAGCATCTGACCATAATCACCCACTTCTGGTGAAAGTATAAACGGTTAGAGTGTGCGTTCCTTTGGGCTGCGATATCCAGCATGGGGCCGGATACTGTTCCTTGCTGCCCCCTGGACCTCAGGACCTGAGCCCTTGCCTGCTTAGACCTGTCCTAGCTTCCAGACTCTTCCAGCAGCCCCTTCCTGAGGTGCAACACACCCATGCACTGACATGGTACAAAGAAAGTCAAGGTTAAATGATTTTGCTAACCACAGGTGTTTAGGAGAACAAATGACTTGAACCCTGGTTTGCATTTGTTTTACTCTTATTCTTTTCACATACTTTAGTAATCTTTTTTTAGGAGAGACCATCCCCAATTTGTAGATAACCCCACAGTTACAAAAGACAGCTTTGACACTTCTCTCCACTTCTCCATGGCAACTATGGCCACCATGGAAACCACCGGGGCGAAGGGGGAGGGAAAAAACAAATACAGGATCTATGGGATCAGGAGTGAAGGAATGGGATCAACTGTGAAAACCAGTAGGATCTGGGGGGACTTCACTAGAGGAAAGATTCCCAAGCAGGACTAGCCTATTTGTAAGGTGACTACCCTGACCCAATATTTTCCTACCCTAACAGGAAAACTTTCTTTTGATTTTTTTCTGCTGCCTCGAGGCAAATCAAAGATTGATTTGGATTAACAAGTATCTTACTTTGACAATGGGAATAACTCTGTACTGATTAAAGGCCTACTAGCCATTGATTCGTGAGCATGACGGATTTGAAAGCTTCCAACCATGCCTTGTGGAAGTCAGCAACACCAAATAAACAAGAGCTTGGGTAGAAGGAGTAGAAACTCAAGTAAATTTGGAAAATGGAACATTTGAGGAGTATGGGAGGGGAAATGCTTGGAGCAACGTGAGAATGGGCAGTAGGAGAGGAGGCACCAGGGGGAAAAAGTGGGCAGGAAAGGAACGTGGACCTGATGACCAGCCACGGAGGGATAGCTGAGTAAAGCATGATGGTCCACCCACTGTATGGAAATTTCTCCGCCCATGTATAAAATGATCATTAACTCTATTGCAACAAGAGAAATTACTGATATTTCTGAATATTGGTATCTGAATAATACTGAAACCACTGATACTATGGAGTGACGAAAGCAAGAGGCATAAGAAAGAGATGTCAGAATTTGACAAATACGAACTTCGTCTGGTTCAGTATTTTCACTGGAGATGGACTTCTTCTCCTCCTCCTTCTCACGGTCTGGAAGGGACCTAATGGGGGGCACTTTGAACTGTGGGGATGAGGGAAACATCCTGTGGGTGGCACAGCAAAAACTTAGAGCCTGGACCCCTCTCAGCCTTATGGAGCAGAACCTCAATACCAGCCGAGACTTGAGCACAATAGAGAATTCAGCTTCTACCTGGCTCGAGTCACTGTTATCTGGGTCCCATGCAACCAAACCTACATCCTCTCCAGTGTTCCCCAATGTCCGGCCACCTGCCCTTTTTCCTAGCATACACTTCAGGCACTTCTGTGATTTGAATAATTTTCCATCTTGGGACGTGGGGTGGCTCAGTCGATTAAGCATCTGCCTTCAGCTCGGGTCACGATCCTGGGGTCCTGGGATAGAGTCCCACATCGGGCTCTCTGCTCAGCAGGGAGCCTACTTCTCCCTCTCTTTCTGTCCCTCCCCCTGCTTGCGTGCTCTCTCTCTAATCTTTAAAAAAAAAAATACATAAATAAATTTCCATCTTGTTCTTTAGTGAAAGAAGCTGTTGTCCACTTCCTACCTATAATTAGTATCAAATAGAGAGTAGAGCTTTCATGAAAGTAACTTTTTGTCAAACCCTAGCCTTGGGCAGCCATAATTCTTTCAAATACTAAGAATTGAGATGCCAGACCACAAAGCATTGTGTAAATTTCTATTATTTTACTATTAAAAATTTTCAATCTCAAAATTGGTTAATTTTAAAATAAAAACTAACCATATATTTGTTTTTATACATTATATACACTTGAGAAATAAATACTGTTCTAAGTGTTAAAAAAAAAAAAGCATCATTATATACAAATAAGGCTTCAAACCAAATTTATAAATACAAGACCCATGGAGGAATTGATTCCTAAGTCTTCCATTACCAAAAATAGAAGTCAGAAGTAATCGGGATGTACAGTCAACAACGCAGGCTGCACTTTGGCTAGAAACCATTCACAGAAGCAACAGAGGAAGCACACAATTTAAGAAAGTACCTAGAAGTAAGACTTGACCGGTTATGTCTTCGAAAGTTTGGCATTGAACAACAATACAACTTTGGCACAATACAGATTAAGACTGTGTCCTTTAAAAACCGAGGTACAGAGAAAATCACTCTTCTCCCCCAACCTGATATCACATCTCCTTTCAAATAAGTCTCATCCATAAAAAGCCCAGTTTCTGGGAACAGTTGCTTTCCCCGTTATATATTAATGACAAGGTTTATGGTTTTATGGATGGATCTGAAAACCAATTCCTTGTTTGTCACATCTGGGGTATACTGGTGGGAAAAGGCTATAGACCTCTTGATAAAGTTGCAGAAATGAGCACACCACAGACTTGCCTCCAGGAAATCTGGGTCATCCCCTGACTCCACCACCAACTTGGTATATAATTCCACGCATGTGGCCGAACCTCACGAAGCCTCAGTGTTGCCAAATAGAGACATGAGCTGCCCTGCTCACCTCCTGTTGTGAGTCTCTAGTTAGGTGATGCACGTGCAAATCTTTGGAAAAGTATAAAACCGTTTCCCAGATATCACATAGATTCACTCATATCAAGATAGAGAATTGGAGGCTTTCCTGAGCTCAACACAGAGAAGGCACGGGTATGAGAAGAAGGTATTCCTAGAAGGAAGAAGCACTGTATTAAATCTTAGTGGGGGCACCTGGGTGGCTCAGTCGGTTGGGTGTCTGCCTTCGGCTCGGGTCATGATCCCGGGGTCCTGGGATCGAGCCCCATATCGGGCTCCTTGCTCGGCAGGGAGCCTGCTTCTCCCTCTCCCTCTGCCTGCCACTCCCCCTGCTTGTGCTGTCAATAAATAAAATATAAAAAAAAAATCTTAGTGCCAGGTCTGTTTGATAGGAGCTGGTTTCTGTGTGAACGGATCTGTAGAACAGATATGTAACGCCTTCTATTTGCCTAAGCAGAAGAGATACTGCTCAGAAGCAGTTCCATTTGGCAGTTGGCCACCCTTCTGTCCCCAGCATGTATGACACTCTGCTTGCTCCCATGCAAGCAATGAAACGTGTCACTCTTCCAGAACTGGCTGAAACCCCTGAAGGCCTAGGATCCCCAACTCTCACACCCTGTAGCCCCCAGTGTCCCCCGTGCCCTTCATCACATGTATATCCATGAATCACCTACACTGGAAGGGAGTCTAGAAATCCCAACCCCCTCAGATTCCAAGTCTGGACAGGTTTATGAATGCATCTACTGCCATGTGCTAATTAAGGTTAAGTGCTTAATAAACATTTGTCCAATCAAAAAATAAGCAATGGAAAACCGAGAAAGCCAATAATGTGTGCTTTAGAGAGTGAGCTGGGGAGCAAGACGGAATGTCTGAAATATAACCAGTATTGATCAGTGCAGCCCACGGAACCCCAACAGTGAGGACCTCGCCACCACCCCAGGTCTTCACTCCCCTCTCTCTGGGGGAATGAGATCACAGGTCTGCCATCCTGATGCGAGACCTCTCCCCACCTCTCAGGTCAGGTCAGACAGTTGACAGCCTTCCACGCACTTCCACAAGTGTTCCTTATCAGGGAAACCCCAGGCTCTTCCAGTCACTTAGAAACCAGCCCAGTGTGCATAAGAGGCCCTGGGCCTTCGGCCCTTTGCACACAGGTCTGGAGTCAGAGCCATTTTAGAGCAGCAGGAACAGCAGGAACAGCAGTGCATGGTCCCCTCTGGCGAGAAGTCCCAACCGTCCTAGGAGGTAAGGTCCTGGGCCCAGCAAAGAGACTCTTCCCGGGGCTCGAGTGTCCAGGCCAAGAGGGGTCCTTCCATCAGGTGGGTCTTCAGCAGTAACTTTCCTCCGTGTCCTTGGAAGGCGGGGGTGGGAGGGCCTTGCTGGCCCCTCAGAGAAGCTCCACAGCTAGGCTGTAGGGAACCCTGTAAGAGAGGCGCTCCGTCACTCGCTTGGCAAACACGCCAGCCTGCACCGAGCGTGTCCTCTGCTGACCTCAAGACCAGGCTTTCTTACACACCTATCACACTCTTCTACTTGCTTCCCATTCAGAACAAGAGGAAAGGGTCCTGAGTGCCTCTTCCTCCCCTTCTCCCAACAAGCCACGGATCACTTGGGGAAACACAACACTGGGGAAGTCTCTGGGTTCCTAGTTACTTAAACCTTGGTGCTGGCTTGCACAGATTTAGTACAATACTCGTCCACACCACACACACACACACACACACACACACAAATGCAGGGAGAACTATCCATGAGTCCTCTTCGCCTTGACCTAGAAACACAAGAGAGACTGTAGGATGGCAGGAAGGGGACAAGACAGAATCCAGAGACCTTGATTCTACTCGAAGCTATGCTACTGCGCAACCGAACCTCCCAGAACCTTAGTCTCTTTTGTCAGTGAATAGGTGACCAGTATCCCATTGGGGGAGAGAATACTGAAGACATAACATATGTCTAGGAATGTCAGGACCTCCTTGTGTTGATGAATTACTCTGGCTTCTACTGCTTTCTATTCCTTTGAGGGTAAAGGAACGGGTGACTTGTTTTCTCAAAGAGGCAGTAGGAGGTGAGTCATACCATTCTCAACTGTTGTGAAGTTCTGGAGCAGAAAAGAAGAATAAAATGTCTTATCATAAGATATGTTATCATAAGAATAACGATAAGACGAGTGATCCTCCTTGGGCATGTCCAATCTACACGGCTGTTCTGAGGATCGATGAAATTAATATTTGGGGAAGCACTTGGAAAGGTATACATTTGAATACAAACATAAAGAATTAAAATTATTATTAGAGCAGAATTTTCTTTTTTTTTCTTTTTTTTAATTTTTTATTTTTTAAAGATTTTATTTATTTATTTATTTGAGAGAGAGAGAGAGAAACAGCATGAGAGGGGATAGGGTCAGAGGGAGAAGCAGGCTCCCTGCTGAGCCGGGAGCCCGATGCGGGACTCGATCCCAGGACTCCAGGATCATGGCCCGAGCCGAAGGCAGTCGCTCAACCAACTGAGCCACCCAGGCGCCCCTAGAGCAGAATTTTCTATGGGCCTGCGCTAGACTGAGCCACGTCATTAGACGGGCAGTTTTCAGAATGCTATGCATCCCGTGATCGCCAAGCTTGTGGTCAGGCTGGTGATCCTGAGCAGGAAACAGAGCAGTGGGGATGCAGCCTGGCCCCCAGGGCTGGCAGATGGTTAATCCCAGGAGACCCCAGCATGGGTGCAGCTGCTTGGTAACTGATACCTAGATCAAGGTGAGGTGATGCATCTGAGCAAGCAGAACCTCCACGCTCAAGAAAGACTACGGGCTTCAGAGTAAAGCAACGTACTTCAAATGTTCGCCCTGCCATCGCCAGCTGGGGGACCTAGAAAGAATGACCCAACTTCCCTGAGCCTCAGAGTCCACAACAGCATGCAGGGTTAATACCACCAGCGTCATGGGGTTGATGACAAAAGTAAATGAGATAGCATAGGGAAGGCATGGAACACAGGTGGGCACACGCCGCGTGCTTGGTATACCGCAGCAGCACCTGGGTTGGGGTAAGTGGTGGGGGCCCGTCTCCATCCTCCTCAGCAGGTGTTTAGGCTCAGAGGCTCTGCGATGAATTCCCCCTTTGGATGCACCGGCTGCCTCACACCATGAGACCAGCCTTTCCTCAATCTGAAATAATGGGACTCCAGAATGGGGCAATGGGACACTGAAGCAAGATGTGTGTTCTGTCTGACTCAGTGCCATGCACATGAGCATTCCTGCTTCTCAAAGAGGGGAAGAACTGCCCGATAGTATCCACTTACACCAACCGGGGCTCCGGAAAACCTACAAATGGGGACTATATCTGGCACTTCTACTTTATCTCCCACCTGACTCCCCACTCCAAACTTGTGCCCAGAAGGAAGCTAGGAGCCCTGGAACCTTCTGGAAGCCCTGGTCACCATGGAGAAATTCATTCTCAGATGGCCTGATTCCAGTGGGGCCATGGGCTGTGGATGCCTTCTGGGGGAGGCAGAACAAGAGGCAGAAAGACACCACCACCCTCTGACATCCTCCATACTCCACGGATTCGATCTCCTGCCAACAGGTCCGCTTCCCAAGAGAAGGGCTTTATATCGGTTTTGCTCACTGCTGTGTCCCATATGCCCAGACCCATGTCTAGCACATGCTGGAGCACCTGTCAACATACGATGCATATGAGAAAGTCCCAGTTACCTGGTTTCATTTTTCATTCTCCAGCCATCTCGACACTTGTGGAACCAGAGCTCTTGGCCAGGGGAGATGCTGGTGTTCTCTAAGTCTTGCACACAAAAAGTTAATCTAGGACAAAAAAGAAACCACCCATGTAGCCAAAACTCTAGTGGGGGAGGCACATGGCTTGCCTCAGGCAGATGGTGCTTTCTGAATCCAACGTGGACCTAGCAAGGAGAAAAGGGCGTCTTCATCATACCACACCCTGACCCAAACCTTCGGAACTCCCCACTGCTGCTACAAGGGTCCTAAACGTGTCTCGCTCGGACATCTGCCATGATCTGGTTCATGCAGATTTTCATCACACCGCTTCCACTTTCTTCTGTCTGTCCATCCAAAAGTCTGCCTACCTTTCAAAGCATAGCCCATCTGAAGCCTCCCTGACTGCCCAAGCCCTTGACCTTAATAGAAAAGCATATTGTTATACAAGTGTTGTTTCTGCTATTGTCATTACCTTGTATGGTATGGAGTTAGTAATGAATGTCTTGTCTTATTTTAACACATTATACACTGCCTTGAATTGCTCATGGATTCCCATACCTGTGGTGGACTACACACTCCTCAAATGGAGGAATTCAAGGTACCTCCATTAGGGTGCTCAGAAATACCCACTGATAAGCATAACTGGAATTCAGCTGTGGGTCAAAATCAAAGATTCAGAAAATGCTCAACCAAGATCATGGAAAAAAATCAGTACTCAGATAACCATTTCGACTATAACTTAGAGCCAAACCATGTGGACCTTGATGGTGTGTAGTTAGCATGACCCCATGACCAAAAGACGTATATGGGACACCTGACCCTGATGTATGGGATGTGCTGACTGAAGGGACAAAAGCCACATTCAGAACAGGTTTAAGAACCTTAACCAGGAAGACCAAACAGCCCACAAACATATAAGAAGGGGACCCACCTCATGGAGATCAGGAAATTAAAACACATTAACACAACAGTAAGGGACCAATTCACACCCAATGGTGAGAGTGTCCCACCAAGTGGAGGTGAGGAGGAGGGAAAGGAGACTCTTACTCTTAGATTGTCAATTTGTCTAAACACTGTGGAAGGAGATTTAATAATATCTGGTCATTCTGGAGAACACGTTTACTGTAACCCCGTGACAGGGGAAGGGTGCCAAAGGGCTTCAGCTCCCCCAATTCCCAGGTTTCTAGGCCAGAATCTCTCAGACAAGGGACGCAAGCCTCCCTACCCCCTCGGCCACTCTGTGCCACAGGTGATGGATAGAAACGGGCCACATGAAGAACTGTGATGGAGACAAAAAACCAGACTAGGTACAGAGAGGGTGGAGGCTGCTTCCTCTCATGCCCAGGCTGGCAGTGACCTCCCAGCAGCCCACAGCCAGATGTGGCCAAGGAAACCCTCCTCTCTTGACAAAAGACCGGCTTCCCTGACTTCTGCTCAGAGAGTCCAGGCACAGTTTCAGGGGCTGATACATGTAGGTCTGGAGTTCTCGTGCCAGGCTGAAGGTTACAAACCATGGGGGACTGCGAGCTGGCGTAGTACAGAGGATTCTCTGTTACTTGACATCAGGGCCCCACCCCATAACCTTGACTCACAGGCTCCGCAGGAAGGATATAATGCTCTGAAAATCAGGTGCTGGGGAAACCAGGGCCTCAGGCAGGCCTCATCCATGGGGGTTTCCTAGGCTCGATACTTGAGTTTTCTCTGGACAGGGGCAGGCGAAGATGTTGGCTGCCCAGACCCCATAGCAAATGGATCAGCAAGGCAGTGCCCCTAAGGAGGAGCCCTCCTTCCTCTGGGCCAACACAGGGTCTGGCAAACACAACCGAGGCTGGACTCCAGCCTGCACTTTGCCCACCCCCCTCAGCTGAGGGCCCGGAATCAGGACACAAGCTATACAATGGTTGACAGAGGTCTCCACGGAGAATTCACTTTCCCTTACAGAAGTGTCTGCGGTGTTGCCCATGTGCTGTGGGCACGGCAAGGCTGGAGATGCCTGCTGGGCAAAGGGGAGGACGCGGCGGAGGCAGGCGCGCTCGGCTCCCCATTGACACGAGGCCCTTACCTCCGCTGAGTTTCCCCCGACTTGACCCGGATGCTCCTGATACTCAGTTCCCGCTCAGCGCTGTGGGGCTGAGACAGGTAGCTGCGAAGCTCCTTCCACAGGTTGTACCAGGACTGAGCTGTCCCCTCCCAGGTGAGTTTGATCTTCAGGAGGTCTCCCAGGTCCTCCTCGGTGTAGACCAGGAAGGTGTTGGTGGCGTTCAGCCCGATCTGCTCCACTCTGCAAGGGGACATGGGGCGGGTGTCACCCACCTGCCCCCGCAAAACTGCCCCGCAGTGACTGCAGACAAATGGGCCCACAGACACTGGTCTCCCTCTGAACTCCCAGCCCCTTCCTGCCTATCCCCCTCATTTGACACATGGGGGGTCTGTCCCACCCCGTTCGTGTGCATATACATCTGGTCCCCCAAGGAAGGTGTGTATGACCTGAGCCCTAGGAAGCTAGTACTTTACGACATTACTTTGCAATCCCAGAATTACTTGGCATGGCGCTTTGCACCTTGCATGCGTTCAACAAACACACTGATTGCTATGTGCCCTTCCCACAGACAATTAGAAACGGTGCAGGAATGGCATTTATGTTCCAAATTTCCTACAGCCTCAGGTGTCAGGCGTTGCCTGAAATGAAACAGTAGTCTCTGTCCAGATGATCCAAAAGCTTCTCATGCTGCTGATTCATCCAGGGGCATCCGTCCCAGAGAGGGTCTGAGTCAAGGGCTTGGTGGAGAGCGTGGCCCACAGATGCCTCTGGAGCCGCCCAGCCCCTCCCGTAGGCCCTCAGGCTGCACTCCCCTGCACTTGTTCACACACTCCCACACTCGCTCAATCTTAGACTGACTTGTTCTGGGTCCTGAACCCATCAAAGGGAGCGTGTGACTTACATTTCCAAAGGCAGAAGCTGGGAGTCTGCACTGGTACCATAAAGGGTGACATAAAAGTTGGGTTCGATTTCTCCCATCGTCTTGTAGCTGAAGATATGGATTTTCATCTGATAATGGTAAACTGCAGAGATAGTGGAACAAAGGCCTTTGTGAGCTTTGCTGGCCATCTCAGGACACCCCAACTCAAATTGAGTCACCCAGCACATTGAGTTTTTAGGGGCTGATGTCCCTTTGGTCCAGCCCAGCCTCCAGCCTCCCTCTGCTCTTGTTCAGTCCAATGGCGTAAGGGATCACTGCAGTATCGAATTGAGCCCCAAACGTGGAGTTCAGGGAATTTGGGGAGGGGGGCAGTTCCAGCTTAGCTGTGCGACCTTGAATGAAGGACCAAGGTATTAACTCTTTGAACCCCAGCTTCCTCATATGTAAAATAACACCCACAAACCCCTATGGTCTTAGAGCATGTTGTAAAAATGCAAGACATGATTTTGCTTCCCTGTTGGTCCAATCCAGATGTGTTGTGACACTCAAATGAGAAAAATAGGAAATAGCTTTGCAAAAGGCAAATGCAAAGAAATGAAAAAATGAGGGGAAGAATGAAGGGGAGGAAATCGGAGGGGTAGACGAACCATGAGAGACGATGGACTCTGAAAAACAAACTGAGGGTTCTAGAGGGGAGGGGGGTGGGAGGATGGGTTAGCCTGGTGATGGGTATTGAGGAGGGCACATTCTGCATGGAGCACAGGGTGTTATGCACAAACAATGAATCATGGAACACTACATCTAAAACTAATGATGTAATGTATGGGGATAATATAAGAATAAAAAAATTAAAAATAAAAAAATAAAGGGAGAAAAAAAAAGAAATGAAAAAATGTCAGGGCGCCTGGGTGGCTCAGTCGTTGGGCGTCTGCCTTCGGCTCAGGTCATGATCCCAGGGTCCTGGGATCGAGCCCCGCATCGGGCTCCCTGCTCCTCCCTCTTCTACTCCCTCTGCTTGTGTTCCCTCTCTCACTGTGTCTCTCTCTGTCAAAGAAATAAATAAAATCTTTAAAAAATAATAAAAATAAATTAAAAAAAAGAAATGAAAAAATGTCTATCTTAATACAAAATTAAGATACTGGGCGCCTGGGTGGCTCAGTTGGTTAAGCGACTGCCTTCGGCTCAGGTCATGATCCTGGAGTCCCGGGATCGAGTCCCGCATCGGGCTCCCTGCTCGGTGGGGAGTCTGCTTCTCCCTCTGACCCTCCTCCCTCTCATGTGCTCTCTCTCTCTCTCTCATTCTCTCTCTGTCAAATAAATAAATAAAATCTTTAAAAAAAAATTAAAAAAAAAAGAAATGAAAAAATGTCTACCTTAACACAAAATTAAGATACTGATATTGCGATCAGGGAGTGATGCTGTGCATCGCGAAAGGAGTCCCCACCACTTATTTTTAATGCTTAACTTTCCCAGGGCATGCACAGCATCCTCTGATTTGCAGCGATTTGACCTCACTAGTGCCAGCCCCAACTCCCGGCCTGGGATGTGCCCTTTCCACAACATGGTATCGAGAAGAGCGGAAGAGATGAAGGGCCCTCCTCGGGGCCCTGTGGGGCCTGAGGGTTACCTCTGAATGGCATGCCCGCCCGGGTTTTGAGATACATTTTGCTGTTCCTCTTGCTCCTCGTTTTCTTAGCATTGTATCCTATGCTGTTACAGCGGTTCTTCCGGCAACTGAGGCAGATCCCCTTCTTGAAGCGATTTGAGTCCGTGCACTGGAAGGCAAAACTCGGCTTGTCCCGATTCACCAGGGAGTCGACAAAGAGGTGCACAGCCCGCTCATGCTCACATTTCACCACCTCCGTGATTGCTGGGGGAGGGAGAGACAGGGGACAATGCAGGATGAGCCTCTCATCAAATACAGATTATGACCCCAGGGCCCATAGAGGTGGAGTAACTTGCTCAGAGTCCCACGATCACTTGGTTACGAAGTTAGGAGTATAATTTGGATTTTCTGGCCCACGGTACAGCATTATTTCCTGTCACCAGAAGCTAAAGCCCATAGTTCAGTAAATCCTAGGACCTTAAGAAAAATTTGACACAAAACCATCCCATCCCTTCCTCAGTAACACCACCAGCTTTAAGGAATGCCGTCATCTGATGGGGGTCCTGGCATCGACCCCTAAGCCTTGCAGGGGCTACTCGGATATTATCCCATTGGGAGAGGGCTACAGTCTTAAGACTGAATGAGAGGGAGTGGGACATCTGAAGGGCAGAGCATCAGAGTGCAGAGAGCCGACGGGGGCAAAGACGCAGCAAGACTGCCAGGACCCAAAGCAGGGAGTAGGGGGAAACCCGGAAAGAGATGGGTCATTGCGGCCACACATCAGTTTCAGCAGGAAATTCAGTTCAACCCAAGTCTGCTGATAACAGGCTCAGGCATTCAGAAGGTAAATCATACGTGAACGGAGACATCATCTTGGCTTTCCTTCTTTAAAATGTCACATAAAATTAAATTTTAGTGCATCCATTCTGTACAAGATTGTACAGCCTTTAAAAAGAATAAGGTAGGGGCGCCTGGGTGGCTCAGTCGATTAAGTGTCTGCCTTTGGCTCAGGTCATGATCCCAGGGTCCTGGGATCGAGCCCCGCATCGGGCTCCCTGCTCAGCAGGGAGTCTGCTTCTCCCTCTCCCTCTGCTGCTTCCCCTGCTTGTGCTCTCTCATGCCCTCTCTCTCAAATAAATAAAATCATTTAAAAAAAGCATAAGTTAAGTAAATCTATGTGCTCTGATGCTTAAGGATATTCATTTTATATATATACATATATATACACACACACATATATAATGACTGAAAACGGAAAGTTACAGAACAATGTGATTTTGAAAAATATAATCTCTCACACACATATGCACGTGCACACACACACATTTGCAAAGAAAAAAGACTAGAAGGACACATACAAAATTGTTCCTATTGGCTACCTCTGAAGAACAAAAGAGGGAATGGGAGGAAGGGGTTTACTTTTTGCTCTATGCGATTCTGCATTGCTTGATTTTTTTCCCCCAACAAATATATATTCCTTTTCTTATAAAAAGAAATTAATCAATAATAACTGGGACCTCAAAGCATGAGGTCGCCAAGAAGAGACCCATAGATGGCTGTTAACAAGCCTGTAGAAGGATGAACTGTACATGGGGTTGGCAGCCCCTGTGGGGTGGGGGCATAATGAAACGAACATTGTTGGGAGCACTACCAGCTGGGGCTGATTGAGGAGGAGATGTGATAACCAAGTCAAACGTCTCCATGAAGCAGAAAATAAGGAACTCACTTCCATATGCAATTGACCCCAAGACGTCATTGAGTCCACAGCCCGGCTGAAAGTCACCGCCGTTGGGGTAGATGTCGATGTGGCCCACGGGCATCTGAATCCCGATGCTCAGGCCAAAGGAACGTGTGTAGGTGTGGAGCACATCCACAAAGTCTGCATCGTCGGGGGACAGCCTCTTGTGGATGTCCACCCCTTCAAACAAGGGCCCGGCGGGATCCAAACCTACAGCAGAAGGGGGAGCCAAGACCAACTGTGTCAGATGTGCCAAATCCATGAGTCCTGAGTTAAAAGTAAATCCACGTGCGCACAAGGAAGGCATCCTCGGAACCAAGACCAGTAAATCTGGAACCATGTGATGCCCGCACTTGGGGAACCTGCGCTTTCTTCTGGAGCCTTCACCTGTCCTCACAACTCAATGGGCTCAGAAAACTGGCTGCCAGGTTCACAATGACATGCAGCTCCCAGGAGCCCCAGACTGTCAGAAATGGAGCAGTTCTAGAAAGAACTCAGGCTGGCTGAACTAAGCCATTAGTCCCATTTATTCTGCCACTGGAAGCCTTCCGCAGCCTTAATTTAGCAGGCCTTTTATGGAATAACCAAGCTACCTCCATCTTCTGGAGGGAAGACTCAGTTTACCCAAACTGAGCTATTTGCATGTGGACTTACTCTTCCCCTTCCTTTAGTGATGAATCAGGCCCAAGGGTAGAATGGTAAGATCAGGAGTACGGGCCACACCAGACACACTGAGGATCCATAGCCCAGGCTTCCAGAATTCCTGTATTTTGCAGCTAGAAGGAGAAATCTTTTTGCCTGCAAACTTTCTGCATTGAACAGGCAAGCAGCAACGTAGAGAGAACTGGTTCTCACATTTAAAACAGCACAAATATCACTGGGAGGTTGTTGAAAATTCAAATTCTACTATGTAACTATAAAAAAAAACTCGGGAGGAGGGGCGCCTGGGTGGCTCAGTGGGTTAAGTGTCTGCCTTCAGCTCAGGTCATGATCCCGGGGTCCTGGGATGGAGCCCCACGTGGGGCTCCCTGCTCAGCTGGCAGCCTGCTTCTCCCTTTCCCTCTGCCACTCCCCCCTGCTCATGCATGCTGTCTCTCTCTCTATAAATAAATAAAATCTTTAAAAAAAAAAAACTCTGGACACACAAGCCCTACCTATGTATATGTGTGCTGGCGGAGAGGGCAGGGCAGGGAAGCGAACAGGTAGTAGCAACAATAAAAGAGACTTTTACTTTGGACCACGTGAATGTAAACCATTCAAAAAAAGAGTTTGCAAAGCATGAGATGCAGATTCTCCAACCCGGTCGAGATTCTGATTGCCAAGTCTGGTGTGGAGCCCAGAAATGTGTTATTTATTCCCCAGGTGATCCTAAAAGGAGGTGGTCTATGAACTAGATCGGAAAGAACTTCTCCCACCGTCAGTATCATCGATAACATTGAACCTGAACATCTTAATCCATACAGTTCATGTGAGGTATTAAGAGATTAAGTGCTTGGGCGCCTGGGTGGTTCAGTTGGTTAAGCGACTGCCTTCAGCTCAGGTCATGATCCCAGGGTCCTGGGATCGAGTCCCGCATCGGGCTCCCTGCTTTGCGGGGAGCCTGCTTCTCCCTCTCCCACTCCCCCTGCTTGTGTTCCCTCTCTCGCTGTGTCTCTCTCTGTCAAATAAATAAATAAAATCTTTAAAAAAAAAAGAGAGAGATTAAGTGCTTGTCAGTGTAAATACTAGCCGCTATTACCAAGCTCAAGTAATTACGGGAGCCGACTTCCTGCCCCCTGGTAGGCTCTCTGCCCTACAGACACAGGGAGAGGGCCTGGAGAAAGTTGAGAATACTGTGCACTGTTTAGTCTAGAACGGTGGTTCTCAGCTGGGAGTGATGTTGCTCCTAAGGGGACATTTGGCAATGTCTGGAGACATTTGGGGTTGTCACAGTGGCAGGGAGAAGGAGAGAAGCTGCTAGTGGGTGGAGGCCAGGGAGGCTGATAAACATCCAGCAATGCTCAGGTCAGCTCCCACAACAAAGCATTAGCTGACCCAAAATATGCACAGTGCTGAGGCTGAGGCACCGCGGTCTGGAAACACCACATCAGAGAGGAGTTAAGACTGAGAGCAGGGTCGTAAAAGGACGAGAGGGGTAACAGAACCCGTCAGATCCCAGCACAAGAGAACCAGGGAGCACACTGTGCAGCTTGAATCACTGGGGTGATTTCAGAGGAAACAAGAGGCAGAGCTATTGTCTGGAGTGGACAGTACATTCATGAAACTCGCCACTCAGGAGGACTGTAGAGACTGAAAGGAAGCAGAAGAAGTTTAGAGAAATGCCCGTACGACCACGGCAGAAAGGCAGCCCGGGCTGCCTGGTGGTTCATCCGTAGCCCAGGGCCCCAAAGGAGGATGCCACAGAAGCAGTAACCCCCCAGCACAGCCCACGAGGACTCGGTTCAGAGGCTTCCAAGGGCTACAGTACCAACACAAGCGCCTCCCCCTGCCTCTTGCTATGTTTTCTGGAAGAAAAAAAGAGAGAGAGGAGACCATTCTGCTTTGCAACCAATACAGGAGAGGGGCTCTTTGCTTGATGTGAACAAAAGTCTCCACCAGACGGTCAGTGCCATGGAAACCAAGCTGAGCTGGAAGAATGTGGGCAGCTGACAGGGCTTTTGGAGAAGATGACCGGGGGGTGGGAGGAGGGGGGGAGGGGGCGGGCAGGCTCAGCCTTCACCTCCCCAGACTCACCCAGCCTGACACAGGGCCAGGGCTCACAGATGCTGGGGAAAAGTTGCACACTTTACTTTTTTTAACTAGGAATAGGAGGGAGAGCTTGTCCCCGCCAAAAAAAAAAAAAAAAAAAGAACAGGTGGAGAACCACCCCTTCTTCCATTCAGTCAGAGCCCTTCCAAAGATGTTCTGTCCAGCAAATGGAATACATCCGTGCATGCACACGCATACACACCCAGGAAAACCTCTGCACTGCGGCCTGGCAGGGCCGGGCCTGCTGCATTTCAATTGCTATTTTATCTCCACCAGCAAAGGAGAGGTGGGATGGCCCTGTGGCTAGGTACGGGTTCTGCAAGCTGACGGCCTGGGTTTGAATCCTGGCGCTGCTACTTAGGATGTAAGCCGTTGCACCCATTATTTAAGCACCGAGTCCTGGTTTCCCCATGCGGAAAGGCCCCTTTTGCCCCACTGCGCTGAGTCTTAGAGATAGCATGAAGTCCTTGTCACATCTTAGGTACTTGACGTTAGGAAGCATCTGGCCCAGGGTCTGTACAGAGTGGACACTGAATTCATAGTTCTTGAAGGAACGAATGAATCTGCTTGCTTATTTGTAACTAACTAGACACAGGGTCGATTAGAAATCTACAAACTCTTCCCTGGTATCTCACAGAATTCTCTCAAAAGCCTAAGAAGGTAAAACTCTGGCAACCCCCGTCCACAGCTCCAATCCAAGCGAGACTAGGGTTCAGGTGTCCCCCTGTTGGCCCCCATACAGCGGCATCATGGGTCTCAGGACCCCACACAAGCTGCAGTCTGGTCCTTCTACTAGTTGGGACCACCTGGTTCCCAGGCCCATGTGAAGTCTACCGAGGGAGGGGAGGAGAGTAGGCACTCCTCCCGCATTGGACACGCACAACAGCCGCATCAGGTGCACCACGTAACCCTCTGAAGGGCCGCTAGGCAACTGGACAGAGGGTACTCCTTCCCACCGTGCTCACCCAGCCCCAGCGCACAGAGAAAGGCTGGAGAACAGGGACATGCTCTGGACATGCAGACGGCTCAGAGCACTGATTAGCATTCGGCCCCAGAGCCCGCATCTCAGCAGCTGCCACCCAAACAGACAGGGGGAGAGAACTGGAAAACTCTTCCCTAGCCCCATCTCATTTCAGATTCAGAGAGAAGGAACGGGAGGATCTGCAGCTTGTCCTTGCAGCCAATGACCCTCATGGGGGGCAGGGGGGATGGGGACGCGATACTTGTATGTGCTGCAGTTTGAACAAGGCTGGTCTGGCTCTGAACATCATGCCTCTCTCTCACTGGGGGCCAGGGGGAGCTGCTCAGACAATGGAACCCAGAGTGGCTTACAGCTGAACAGCTTTGCACCAGCAAAGGGTTAATGAGCAGTCACGTGGCCACACAATCATGGTCCACCTGGACGCTCAGGCCCCACAGGCTTGGTAAACAAAAACGAGGCTCTCAGGCTATGCTAAATCAAATAACTGGACCTAAAGGAGTGTGTGCACGGGTGTGTGTGTGTGTGTGTGTGTGTGTACATTAGACTGAAGCCCAGGGATGACTGGAGGTGAGCCAATAAAATTTCACAAATAAATCTACCCCACCAGCTTGGTGCTAAAACCTGAAGCTTTACTAAATCGTTTGTTAGTTAAGGACTCCCTTCTTCCCTGTTTTAAAATAAAAACACTGCCGGGAAAGAAATTGATCAAATCTTTCTTTCTAGGTGACCAGTTGGGCCCTTGGTATTTTGGAGGAGAGAGGGAAGCTGGGAGTGAAGATGAATCAAAGAATTCTGGAAGGAAGATAAAAGTTTAGGGCACCAAATTTGCCATTAATTTCAGCCTAGAGGAAGCACAAAAATGGGAAAGAAAATCTTTCCCACTTTTCAAATCATTAAATGATTTAATCCAAACACACATCAGAAGCTCACCAAGATGGAAAACACAATTTTTTCATTGACGACCTGGGTACCAACATCAGAACGGCCTCTTTAATGACAAAATTGAAGCATCCATTCTAAACAGATAATTACCACTAATAAACGTGCCCGCAAAACATTGGGAAAAGCCTGTTGATGGATGAAATAGAACTAAAGCAAACTACTAGAATCCGCCACTCTTTCATTTCCCTGAGCATCGCTGGCAGACAACGGAGCGAGCCTCAGAGGTTCACAGGTCAGGATCCCCCCCAGTTCTGCACGTTAGTTATTAGCTGTTTGCTCCTGGGCATTTCCTTGCCTGTCCGACTAGACAGGTGGTTTTCAAACTATGTTCCCTGACGTTCTGGGGCCCTGAGATTTCTCTGCGTAAGGGGAAGGCCCCCTAGCAAAGTAAGCACTACCCACCATCTATCTAGCTGCGACCAGAATATCCCTTTTATCTGTTTCATGTATCAGGGTCCCACACAAGTTCAACTTGTAAGAAGGACTCTGTGGCCGAAGAGAACACTGGAAAGCTCTGGATTAGATACCCTCTGGGTTCGTTCCAAAGCTAACCCTTCATGGCTCCCTCGTGCTGCCTCTGCGGGAGCGCTCCAGTTCAGAAAAGCCAGCGTGGCAGGGGGGCTGAGGGAGTTTGGGGGTGAGCCCAGAGCGCAGGAAGCAGATCCTACCTGTGATTCTGCCCACCGTGCCTTTCACGAAGTTGCCAACATACCCAGCCACGTGAGCTCCCAGGCTGTAGCCGATCAAGTGGACATTCCTGAGAGAAAAATCATCCTTCTCCTGCGGGAAGTCACAAAAGTGACTGTGAGTGAAGTGTGTGGTCCTGAGCCCACAGGGTCACCAGCAATTCAACAATCCTATGGCCACAAGGAAGAGCCAGGGGAACCGGGGACAGAGACTTGCCAGGGCGTCGCCCGCCTTGCTGTCAATGAGACAGGGATGGGATGAAGCCAGGGAAGGGGAGGGCAAAAGGACTTTACGGCACTTTAAATGCCAAGCGCTGAGGGCAGGGTGGAGGTTATGACTGGAAGCTACATACCTGACCCTTGGGCTACATTTCCATTCCCTCGGGCACTATGGGAGGCACCCGACTCACTGGACACTAAGCGCCAGCCACAGGCTGCAGGAGCTTACTCTCTCCCCACTTCTTAGGCCCCAGGAGCTGCTGGTCTGCTCACCGCAAAGCTACCCAGAGAGAGGGCACTTCGCTGGCAGGGTGAGGAGGTGGGGCCTGGACCCCACAGCTCAGAAACCCAGCTCTACAAAACAACCCAGGCAGAGAACTGGGGTACGGCTTGAGAACCCTGACCAGACTGCTGCCAGGAGTCATCCGATTCCATGGGCAAAAGGAAGGTCAGACTGGAATCGCCCAGATCATGGGGTCACTTTGCCAGTACACCCCTGCCTCCGGCTAAGTCCGCTGATCTCAGGCAAATCATTAACCTATAGAGAGTAAATGTAAGACCTCGAGATCTGCTTTCCACACTTAATATTTTAAGCGTCGAATTAGACTGCATTTGTTGGAACCAAACTTCTCCTTCCCCTGAGGACAGCCACCCTTCAGAGGAAAAGAGTGGACTTCAGTAAGTTTTCAAGATTTCATGCTGGTCCTGGCTCCTGACTATTCCCAACCTGAGGGCATCAGCGAGGAATGACCCATCAGGCGAATTTTCCTCCGGCAAATAAAGCGATAGGCAAGATCCAGAGATACATCAATAACTAAAACGCTTTCCAAAGTTCCAGCTTTCAAGCATTTCAAGCAATACTTAATTCAGTAAAAATTTGAATCCCAAAGACATTCTTAGACTCCTGGAGTTCACTGTCACCCAGTCTGAGCTGTATTCTCTTAAGCAGTTTCGGGTTCAAGATCTTGTTCTTAAGAGCGGTTACCTGCAGCCAGTCGAGCATCCTTGCAACACTGTGTCCCACCACCCTGGTGTTATTGACCGCGTCCGTGTAAAGCTGGTGGGCCAGGGGAAGCCAGTCAACCACGACAACATTGGCTTCTTTCTCTCTTATCTGCAGGGCTGACACCAGCTTGTATAGCCAACTTTCAAACATGCCACTCATCTGCAAAGAAAGCAGAGCATTTAAAAAAATTCTTCTTATGGGTTTCAGAAATCCGAATGAATATGGAATTCAGTTCCATGACCCTCTCCCCAGCCAGTTCCAGAACTTTCACAATGGCTGCTCAGGCTCCAAACCTTTGCACGTAAGCAGGGCCGGCCACAGCCAGGATTGCTACGTGAGTGTTGGGTCTCCCATTGCTCTTTATATCTTGCTTTTTCCCAACAAAATTTCCATAGCTGGTGTCTTAGGCTGCCACCCACTGTCCAGTAGGGCCACTATGACATAAGTGGTGGTGGCCGTTCTGGCCTGGGGTTAGCCAGAGTCCCTATCACAGATAAGCACGTGGTGCCAAAAGGCAGCTGGGAAGGGTTGCCTTGGAGAATTAGCTTCTCTATCAGAGATGCAAGGAGATGCTGTCTCCTAGGCAAACGCAGAGTTAACAGATGACCCCTTCCCACAGCTCATCTCTGCCATCCCTCTCGATTCCAGAGTAGGGAAGATCTCTCCTTGGAATCCCAAATTAGAACTCAGAACACATTTTCCCACAAAAACAAAGTTATAAATAGTGCCTAGGTCCAGTTCTAAACCTATCCACATGTACATTATTAGATAAATAGATTTTCTGTGCCTGGCCTGGGAACCCAAACGCCATTTACAATCTTGCTTCTATGGGAAACTGCTGTTCCAAGTTCCAAACAGATTACAAAAGAACTTTCTGGAATGCAACCCATTTGTAAGTTGCAGGCAGTTTGTATTTGCATTTTGACAAGGGGCCTTAAAAAGGTTCAGTTGCATGATTCTAATTGTAGGCTGTGGGATGAGGATGGATAGCCAAGCCCCTAACCATCTCTGCAGGCACATTAGGTAGATAGGCACTTACCCCCCACCCCCCACCCCCAGGCCTGACCCCAGCAGTTGGTGATAGACCTAAAGACCCAGAAAGCATTTAACGGATATGAATTTCTCATCATTAAAAGGAGGAATGTCCCCTCCCAATTAGCCCAGGCAGAAACCTGCTCACTTAATAGTGTCATTTTCCTACAGACCATCATTATACGAATGAATAAACCCCTCGCTGGTCAAAAGCTTCTAAAGCCGAGCATTAAAGCCCTTTTTTGTTGAAGTTTGTCATGGGCCTTTCAATGTGAATTGCTCAGCTAGGGCACATAAAGAGCACCAATGCCTTTAACCAGAGACATCTCTATGCAAACAGGAGGGCACCATGCCAACGGCGGCCAGCAATCCAGGCCAGCTGGCTCTGCATAGACTCTCAGAGCCAGTCAAGTTGCTGCATTTCAGCTCAGCTCTTAGGAGGCACGGCCCCCGGGAGGCAGTGGTTGACCAATGTAATTAAGTGTAATTAGAAGGCCCCTTAAGAGCCAGTGGAGCTGAGCTGCTGCCTTCAGGAGAGCCACTTTCTGACAGCCCAGCATTAAATACCACCCTGCTGGAGTCCCTATTGCCCCCTCAGCGAAGTGCCCATTACATTCTTCACAGCTGACTGCAACATAAGCAGCCCACAAGAAAAGAGGGAGAGAGAGAGAGAGAGAGAGCAGGATTGGGAAACACCAGTCCTCTTTTTAATTGACCCAAACAAAGGAAGCCAAATCTTGGGTCGAGCTGCAGAGCTCCCTCCCCTGGGGCTCACCGTCCATCCATGAATGATGAAAAAGGTTCTGGCTGTCATGTTGAAACCACAGTCTTCCAAGGGCTGGTTGTGCCCCAGGGAGAGGTAGCATCCTTCATGGTCCGAGTCCCTGGAGGTGCGGAGGTTGAATCTCACAGGAGATTTGGCAGCAACCTGTATATGCCCGGATTTGTGGTGCTCGTCTGGGGGAGAAAGAACAGAACGTGTGTGCATCTGGCGGGGGCTTGGACAAGTGAGAGACCTGGGGTCTAGTTCTAGTTCAATCTTCTTCTTTTTTTTTTTTATTTGAGAGAGAGAATGAGATAGAGAGCACGAGAGGAGGGAGGTTCAGAGAGAGAAGCAGACTCCCTGCCGAGCAGGGAGCCGGATGCGGGACTCGATCCTGGGACTCCAGGATCATGACTTGAGCCGAAGGCAGTCGCTTAACCAACTGAGCCACCCAGGCGCCCAAGATTTTATTTATTTATTTGACAGAGACAGAGATAGCGAGAGCAGGAACACAAGCAGCGGGAGTGGGAGAGGGAGAAGCAGGCTCCCCGCCGAGCAGGGAGCCCGATGCGGGGCTCGATCCAGGGACTCCAGGATCATGACCTGAGCCCAAGGCAGTCGCTTAACCAACTGAGCCACCCAGGCACCCGAGTTCTAGTTCAATCTTGAGCACATTACTTAATCCTCTGGGTTTCAGTGTTTATATCTGCCGAATGTTTTCTCCTCACTTCCCAGAAGAGTTGCAAAGATATGATAAAGGGACATCTCCATACTGAAGAATATTAGTTAGTCACTAGTCCTAATTACTATGAATTACTGTGACTCTGAAATAAACAGGTGTCTCTTGTTTTTCTTTCCTCTTCCCTATCAAACGAGTTCTCCTTCCCTCAAGTGACTACTTGGTCCTCACTTCTTTTCCTGAAATGCTAGGGACCAACTGAGATTCAGAATTCAGAATGTTTCAGATTTTAGAGAGGCCTTCTGGGACGTAAGCTATGTGGTATGTGACATCCCCAGTGCGGTCTGGGGCATTCCCCAATCATCAAACACATGAATATTTCTGCAAGGAAACACACAACCACTCACCACTCAAGGGCAAAAATAAAGGTTATAGATAGCCTCGGGTCAGTTCTGGTCCGTTTCTGCTGCCAAATGAGTTCAGGGCAGGTAAGGCCGTGTCTTGCTGCCAAACAAATTACCAAACAAATGTTCCAATTTTGAAAGCTTCTGGATTTTAAATTAGAGATAAGAAGCCATCAACTATCATACAGTGGGCTTCCTCTAGTATTCCCAGCTGGATTCCAGCACTTACTCCAAAGACCTCCTGCATCCTCAGGACTCCTTGCCATGCCAGACATGAGCCAGATGTTCTTCTAGTTTGTTAAATAAATGACTGAAGCCATAGGGGAAATTCATAAGAGCAGCAAAACCGTTCCTTCCCACTCCACTGCTCACACAGAGCGCCCAGCTCCCAAGATACAGCAGATGTTACTGAGGTCCCTATGGCCTCTTAACTCGAAGCACTGTCATCACCGCGCTATTATGGACAGTCATAAACGAACCCCATCCAGCATTCTTCCAGCCATCCAGGAAACTATCCCTTGATAACAGCTTAGGAAATTAGCAAATCGAACTCTCCTGTCACCCAGAGATCAAGGAAAAAAATACCAAATGACCACTCCAGGAGTTTCATTTATCCCAGAGTTAAGAAGCAAATGGAATCATGGAAGGAGAGACCAAAATGGTAGAGAAGGTGGCGATGGGGAGGAAAAGAATACACCAGATGTAAAAGGATAGGGTTCCAGAAAATGCAACTAAATATATATGAGCAGACCTCAGGTTAACTGTCATTAAAGTAATGAACAAAAGCTCCAGACGGCAGAAATTTGAACCATGGACAAAAATAGTCTGCTTCTCCAATTCCCACCCAGGTAGCCATTCACAGAGACCAGATGGGGAATTGTAGGAGAAAAGGACAAAAGTCTTCTGGCTTCCTGGGACAGATTTGTGGATAAACCCACATATTGACATAAAACGTTCACCTGAGTATCTGGCCTGACCCAGAGTTCTCCAGCTTCATTCCTACTACTTTCAGCCTGGGTCAGTTTGGCCTCTGGGACTTTACGATTGTTCTTCACCCATGTGCCCTCACGGCTCATTCTCTTAACGTCCTTCAGTTCCTTGCTCAGTGGTCAACTTCACAGTGAGGGAAGCCTGACCACAGATTAAAAGCCTGACCACCTTCTCCACCAACACCCTGTTCCTCCTCTGCTTTACTTTTCTCCTACTGAGCATCATTTATATATTTTAATTAGTTTGGTGTCTGTCTTCCCACTACTGAAATGTAAGCTCCATGAGGCAGGGGTCTTCATCTGTTTTGTTCATTGCTGTATCCAACGCCGCCCGCCCCCCCCCCCCCCGAAGAGGCACTAAGCAGGCACACAATAACTACTTTCTCAACTGAAAGAATAGCCCACGAATACTCAGAATCACGGGAACACAGAAGTTGGAAGGAACCTTAGCGCTTTACAAGAGAGGAGCTAGAGATGTGAGTAAAGCAAAGCTTTCCCATTCATTCAAATTAACCTGCCCTCGTGTACATAAACTGACATGGGCCAACATCATGCCCATGATGGCTCAACCTCAGCAGAATAGTAGAAAATGAGATAATGGGGTGGAGTTTAGGGGATCTCCCCTCTCGCCTGCATAACTAATTGACTTGGCACCCCCGATGGGTGATCCTACCCTCATTCCACCAGGGCAGGCTTCCTCTAATGGAAGAGACTGCCATACAGGACTCCGAAGGAAGAAAGTCCAGCATCTAGGAGGAGGAAGGTGAAGAGAGGTAGGTAGGAAGAGTGGTGATTGGAAAGGGTGTAGGGGAGGAGGAGGCCCGCCACCTGGGGGAATAAGCCCCGCAGCCTTCCCCCACGTTACTCACCAAATGCTCCCTGCAAGCGCTAATCAAACCACAGCCAGCTACCCTGCCCCCCTAACTTTCCAAACACCTACACCCAGTTTAGAAGGAGGGGCACCAGGCGACTTAGCTCTAACAACCTCCTTGCTTCGCAAAGGGCAATGCTGAAGAGCCGTCGTCAGCCGACTCTGCTGGTTGGACGGCACCCATCCAGGGAACCTTATCATGGAAGGGGGTGGGGCGAGAGGGTGAGCGCGGGCCAGCGCCCCCGCCCGCCGGCGGCCTCTCGGATGCCTTTCTGGGGATGTCCTCGTCAGAAGCGCCAAGGAACAAATGAACCGCAAAGCTGACTAGAGGAGCGACTGGGCAGTGGGAAAGGCAAGAGGGTTTCGCAGGCACCAGGAGGGGCTGGAAAGGGGTCGGCAAGACAGAGAGGGGACGTGGCACAGGAAAGTTGGGGGTGGGTGGATGGGGCGGAGGGGAGTAAGAATAAGTGCACGTTACCTCGCCGCCATCCCTCCGGACCAGGGGGTGTGGAGCTTCCCGCGGCAAAGCAACAATAGACGCTCCAGAGGCAGAACAGAGGGACGGAGTTTCGCATCCTTCCCCGCCACACCCCCTTCCCCGAAACAGGGCTGAAAAAGAGAACACCTCTCCGGGTTTCTGGCAGTCCGCGCGGTAAGACCCGCAGTGGGCAGCCCTCTCGTGGCCAGAGAGCGGTGGCCTTAGCCAGCTGAAGGTGAAGGTGGGAGTGAAAGTTTGGCTAATCTGAGCCGCGGGGAGTGGCGGGGAGTATGAAGGGGCTTGAACTGGATCTGCTCTCACCCGTGCCGCCCGCCCGGGAAGCCAGGACTCGCCGCTGTCACTCCTCGAACTCCCGGCGAGGTAGTTTTTTAAAGTATGGGAGTCATCTGACCCATCGCCAGATGGTGATTTGCATAATTTATTCCCGTCCCCGGACTCTGATTGGTCACACCTTCGCTGACGCCCGAACCGAGACTCCCCAAAGTTTGAATGAAGCGCAGCCACACCCACCGCGTGGACGCTCCGCACGCGCCGCCTCGCTTCCAACCCCGCCCGCTTGGCTGGCCGCCGAGCTCCCGCCACCGCACTTCCTCCTTGTGCCGGCTCTCGGACCCCAGGTTCTCCGCTCGCCCCCGCCGCCCCGAAATGCGATCCCCGGAGAAGGCAGGTTATCCTTTCCCAAGTGCAAAGCCACCCCTGCGCCCGAAATGAGCTTTCCGCGCAGCCAAGAGTCAGGATGGAGGAGAGTCACCAGGTCACCCTTTGGGTCCTTCTCTTTTCGAGCCCCGTTACCCCCAGCGAGGCCTGCGTGCGACAGGTGCGTACAGAGTGATCTGACAGTAATCGGGCAGAGCTGAGGGGCCGTGGGCTGTGGGCTCTGGCCTGCCTGGGCTTTTCAGGATCGCACAGACCCTTTCCGCGTCACTGTTCCGCCCCTAGCAGCAAAACTTTGGGAAATCCACCCAGCTTCTCTAAGGTCGTTCCGTCGACCGCAGTACTCGGGTGGTAACAGTTCTCGCAGCTTAGGGATGTTGGGGAAATTAAGAGAGATAGTGTGGTACAGCGCTTAGCGCGGGGCCTGCCAAGTGTTACGATCTCTCTTGCCTTGGGGGTGGAGTGCTAGAGGGATACCAGGAGACACTCCCCAAAGGAACAGTGAGCCAAACTCAGAGGTCTCAGACGCGTGACCAGCGCCAAGTCTCGGCCCCACGCGCCCAGCTCCCTGTTAATTGGAATTAAGCAGCAGCTTCTTCCTTTCCTTGGTCATTTTTTCCCTCCTGTCCTTCCCTTTATTTTTTTTTTTTTAAGATTTTATTTTATTTATTTGAGAGAGAGAGAGTGAAAGAGAGAGCACAAGAGGGGGTAGGGTCAGAGGGAGAAGCAGACTCCCCGCCGAGCAGGGAACCTGATGCGGGACTCGATCCCGGGACTCCGGGATCATGACCCGAGCCGAAGGCAGACGCTCAACGAACTGAGCCACCCAGGCGCCCCTTGTCCTTCCCTTTATTGATCCGCGTCCCCCCTCCTCCCTCTGGTGCTGGCTCCAGCTTCCAGCTCCCGGCTCCCCGGAGGGACCCTGGGACTGAACTTAGAGTGACCGAGACCTTGACTGTGAGTCTGCGGCTGACACCTGGGAGCCAGAGCTGAACCTGCGGCAAATTCTGGGCGGCGGCAGGGACAACTGGGAGGCGGCTGCGCCCCAACAGCCCTTGGGGACGTAGAGCCGGTAGGAAGGACAGAAGGCGCCACGACAGGGCTGCGCTCCGCCGTCCCTTCGCGTTCCAGCCAGCCAGGGTTGGCTCTGCAAGATTGCATCTTTGACCTCGAGTAACCCCACCATCGCAGGGAACCAGTCCCACTCTTGCCTGGGGAGGAAAATGCCCGGGCAGCCTCGCGCCCCTTTCTTCCTGGTGTCAGGGCCCCAGCCGGGGAGATCAGTGTGGGGAAACCAGTCCTGAAGAGCAGGTTCTGTTCCTGCCCTATCCTGGTTACTTTTGTTACTCTGGCTGCCAACGGAGCTCTCTTTGTCCCTCCCATGTGCTGTAATAAATTAACAAGAAGCAGGCTAGCTTTATTTTTTAATATTAAACCCCGTGCACTTTATGGGATGGTAAATGGCACCCCAGATACGTTCCTTTCCTTCTGCTCCAGCTCTCCTCCATTGGTAAACGATACAGACATAAGTCAGGTATTATCTACGTTTTGTAGATAGGAAAACTGAGTCATGGGGACAGGCTGCAGGTTTGAAGGTCATTTTGACAGCCAGGTCTCTCTCCGCTGCTCTAGAAGCCAGTTTAATTTGGCCAGTTGGCTTCTAAATAGGAGCTCTTGGGAACCATGTCCCCCATCTCTCATGCCTCAGCGGCAAAAATCCCTTTTTCTGTCCTGAGTTGCTCAAAGCCATAGTCCCTAGAACCTTAACTGGACAGTGTGAGGATGTGTCTTGGGGGTCTTTGCCACATGTGAGATCCCCTAGGAGAACTAGGTATTCCTGCAAAGTTGGTTATCTTACCTGGGGGGGAAAAAACAGATTCAACAAAATCAATATCCATTTTTTTAACTGCCAAGGCTATGAAACCATTAAGTTTTACTGCTGGTTGGTTAGAGTGCCCTCCTGTGTCTCTGTATTAAAATATTATGTAAGAACTGTCAAAGGACATAATGAAATAACAGTCACAGCATAAGAGTAATGTGTAACATCAACTGTTTGTTATACTTCATACTTTCCAGAAGAACCACAGGAGATCTGGGGAGCCTCCTGTGTGGAGGAAATCTCTGTCTGGGGAGTTTCAGCAGAAAATTCTGTTTAGGGGTCCCTGGGTGGCTCAGTCGGGTAAGCATCTGCCTTCCGTTCAGGTCATGATCCTGGAGTCCCTGGGGATCTCTGGAGCCTCTCCGGTTCCCTGCTCAGCAGGGAGTCTGCTTCTCCCTCTGCTCCTCACCCCACTTGCTCTCTCTCTCTTAAATAAATAAATAAAATCTTAAAAAGCAAAGAAAAGAGAAAGTTCTGTTTGAGTTGTCAAAATTTCAAGGTCTCAGGCTACTCTAGTAAAGGATTCTGGTCATTCGTTTTGCCTGCCAACATGTGAAGGCACCTTTCTATGTTGAAGGAATGAATTCTCTTTTTATGAGACCTTTCCAGCCTCCCTTGCAGGTAGAGTTTAAATTCAGCCAATCAAACTCTAACCTGTAAGCTAGTGACGCCAGAAGCCCGTGGCCACTCCGCTCTACCAATGGGGCAGCAGCGGACACAGCCAGCTCTGGTTCTCTGGGGCCGCAGGGGGATCACCAGTTAGACCAGTCTGCAGTGGGATTTGGCCACTGCCATCTGCCTGAATGCTCTCCCAAGCCTGGTTCCTGTGCCCTGCAGAGATTTGGGGTTATTAGTCAATATCATTTTAAAGATTTTATTTATTTATTTATTTATTTATTTATTTATTTATTTATTTATTTATTCATTTGAGAGAGCGAGAATGAGGGAGAGAGAGTGCACATGAGAGGGGGGAGGGTCAGAGGGAGAAGCAGATTCCCTGCTGAACAGGGAGCCCGATTTGGGACTCGATCCAGGGACTCCAGGATTCATGACCTGAGCCAAGGCAGTTGCTTAACCAACTGAGCCACCCACGCGCCCCTAGTCAATATCATGTTAATGAGTTCCTCCTCAGCATTGCTTGCAACTAACAAGATGACTCAATCACCAGATATTAACTGAGCAGGTACTACAGGTAAAACAAGGGGCTGAGCACCCCCAAGGAATGTTCAGGGGTCCATCCCTGCACTCATGAACAAAGGTAGAAAGTTACAAGTGGCAACAGATTCCTGGCTAGGAGCTACCAGACATCCAGTGCTGTCCAACAGAAATAGAAGCCACATGTGTTCATCAGATGGGGTTGCAATAACAAAATACCATGGAGTGGATGGTTCGAACAACAGAAATTTATTTTCTCACAGTTCTGGAGGCTAGAAGTCTGAGATTAGGATGTGAGCATGGTTGGGTTCTGATGAGAACCCTCTTTTTGGCTTGTGGATAGCTGTCTCCTCACTGTCCTCAGATGACAGAGGGAGACAGAGACAGAGAGTGAGCAAGTTCTCTGGTCTCTTCTTGTAATACAAGGGCACTAATCCCATCATCAGGGCCCCAACCTCCTGCCCTCATCTAAACCTAATTATCTTTCAAAGGCCCCATCTCTAAAGACCATCATACCGGAGATTAGGGCTTCAACATATGAATTTGGGAGGGAGGGACACAATTCAGTCTGTAATGCCACATATGTGATTTTACATTTTCTAGTAGCAACACAAAAAGATAAAAAGAAACATGCGAAATTAATTTGCTAAATAGATTTGACCACAGAAACCTTGTCCCACAAAGAATTTAGTGAAGGCTCAGAATTCTCCAAGAACATTGTTTGGAAAGCACCAGATTAAGAACTATAACCACAGAGGAAGTTAACTGAGGCTCAGTTTAAACCTCCATTCGTAATCTGACTTCAACTCTCCTATATGCTGAAGGTAGCTTTGGGTAGGCTTGTTTGGGTTTGTTGGTTTGTTTATGTATGCCCCTCCTTTGCAAATCCACAAGCTTCAATACCTAGAATTCTTTCACTTAAAAGACATCTAAAGGGAGCTGAGTAATTCTCCTTAATAAAGAGATATTCCTGCAAATTCATATATGCAGTTTATACGTGGCTGTTTTCCTCCTGGGTCTATACAGGCATGGAGCAGGTCAAATGCTGGGTTTAACCAGGGGGTTGGATGGTTTAAAGGAATTTGCCTGAGAAACCAGCCAGGCCCGGCATATTATTCTGGGGAGAGATAGCAGGGCTGGGCTACATTATCAGGGTGAGACCCAGGGAAAGGTTATTAAGCCCCACTCACAGCCCCCAACCCCACAAAACCAGGGTGGTTCAGCTCAGAGTGCCATTTAATTCACTGTTAGTAATCTTCTCCAATGAGCCCTACATACAAAAACTAAATAACCACTGTGATACCAGCAAAGAACGTCAGGGTCCTCAGCACACCTGGGGGTCCGCACCTCCCACAGAGAAGACAGGAGGACAGCACCCAGCACTGTGTGGAGGAAGCCCAGCTGAGCAAACCAGGCGGACCTGCTGGGACCCTTTCTCTCGCCCATCACTTCCACACAACAGAACAGGGCAAAGGAAAGGCTGAGGCAGAGGGATTCGTGGCCAACTGAGAAGCATGTAAAATGGTTCAAAGGACAACCTGGAAGACTAGATCATCGAATTTTAAATGCTCTGGCATTTCCGAAGCTCTGTGAAAAAAAAATTTTTTTAACCTAATTCAAAAAGGTCCATCTTCTAGCAAAATATGTTACAAATAACTGACCCCAGGTTATCTGAAGAGACCAAAAACACAAGAAAAGATCCATAGTGACCAAGTATTCCATCCATACAGACCCCCAAAGTGCCAGATGTATATGCTTCCCCAGATAAATTCCCTTAAAATACCAAACCTTTGGTTAAATCCAAGTGTTCACCTATTCCTCTATCTATACATCTACGTAGCAGCTCATAGCTGGAGAACAAAACAAAGCACAGGCTTGCTAAATTAAAATAACAGCCACTGACCTCAAGCAGTCTTTTAATTTTGCCTAGCAATCAATTTATATTCCCTCAGACAATCTCCGCCTTCCACTCCTTCTCTTAGACAACTCTCTCACATCTTGTCCTCTCCCCTCTGACCTCCAACATCTCCCCCATCCCTCATCCTGATGATTTGACTTCCCATTTCACTGGGAAAATAAAATCAATCAGAAGAGAACACCCACAAACCTCCACCATCACACCCATCCATTTGTTTGCATCTGTCCCTATGTCCTCAGACCCCTTCCTGTTGCTAATGATGAACACTCTGCAGCTGTCTAAGCCCCCCTGCCCTTCAGTTGAACACCAGATGCCATCCCTGATCACCCACCTGAGGACATCACACCAACGATCCCCTCCCCCACCATGGATCCTTTCCATGGATCATTAGCATTTCTCCATCTTAAAGAAAACTCTATCGACTCTACTCCTGTCTCCAGACTCATCTTATTTCTCTGCTGCTCTTTGCAGTAAAATTCCTTTAAGGAGTCCCCTCTGTTCCCTGATTCCAATCCCTCACCTCCCATTCCCTCTCGGGCTCCACCACCTTCCCACAACCTCTCTCCTCAAGGTCACCAGTGGCCTCCACACAGCCAGGTCAATCCTCAGCCCTCCTCCTACCCCATCACGGTCACTCTTTCCTCCTTGGACACTCATGTGGTTCGTCCCTCCTCCTCAGTCTCTTTGCTGACTGACTTCTCATTGTTGGAGCGCCCTAGGGTTCCATCTGCAGAGCTCTTATTTTCATTTATCTAAAATCACTCCCTTAATAATCTCACCTATTCTCATGCCTTCAAAGCCATCTATATGTGATTCTCAAATATGTATAGATACATACAGATGTATAGGTAGATAAATAGATAGATAGACAGATAGATATAGGGATATATATCTCCAGCCTGAACCTCCTCCCTAAGCTCCAGATTTGTTCATCACTTTAGATGTCTTCAAGGCATCTCACATGTACCATGTTCAAAACTAAATCCCTGATCTTTCCCCCCAAATCTACTCCTACTTCAGTCTTCTTCCCAATTTCAATAAATGGCAAACTAATCCTCTCAGTCACTCAGGCCAAAAACTGGAGTTGGCTTTGATGTCTTCCTTTTTTTCTTGTCTCACATCCAACATTCAACAGATCCTGGTGGCTTCACCTTCGATATTCATCCAGAATCTGACCACCATTTAACACCTCCATCATTCCCACCATCATCTGTCACTGAAATAAACCACTTGAAGTACCCCTAGTGGCTCCCCAAGCCATTCACAGTAAAGGTGAGTCCTAATAGTAACGGACCAGGCTCTGCAAGGCCTCCCCTCTACCTCTCTGATATTAATTCACCCAACTTTCCACCTAGCTCAACCCCCACCTCATTCTGGCCTCCTTACTGTTCTCTGAACACACCATCCCTGTTCCACCTTGGGGCTTTCACCTTTGCTATTCCTTCTACTGACTCCCCAGATATTTATAGGGCTCACTCCCTCGCTGCCTTCAGATCTGTGCTCAAATGTCTTCATGAGGCTTCCCTGACCACCCCATTGAAAGTTGCAAACCGCCCCCCCCAACACTCCCTATGTTCCTCCCCTGCTTTATTTTTGTCTCTAACACTTACCACCATCTGGCATGTGACATATCTTAACTCATTCGTTTACAGCCTGGCTTCCCCTGTTAGGATGAAAGGGATTTTTGTGTATTTTGATCATTGCTGTATCTCCAGAACCAGGACTTAATAAATACTTGTTGAAGAAGCACACAAATAAAATCTGAAACTAAACTTTTTTAGAGCTGGATAAAGAATAAAAGCTTCAAAATTCTTTCTACAAAATCAGAATAACACTGATACCAAAATATGACAAAGATTGAAATGCAGAAAAAAAAAGAAGGAAAGGAAAATAGAAAAAAACTAAAGCTATCTCCTTTGAAATATTTTAAGTAAAATATTAGGGAAAGACTCTTTAAGCAGGATATAAACACAGAAGATAAACGAAAAGCATAGTAAATTTGACTACACAAAATTTTTTTTAAAACTTTTCTGCATTGGGGCGCCTGGGTGGCTCAGTCGTTGTGTCTGCCTTCGGCTCAGGTCATGATCCCAGGGTCCTGGGATCAAGCCCTGCATCGGACTCCCTGCTCAGCGGTAAGCCTGCTTCTCCCTCCCACTCTCCCTGCTTGTGTTCCCTCTCTTGCTGTGTCTCTCTCTGTCAAATAAATAAAATCTTAAAAAAAAAAACCAAAAAACTTTTCTGCATTAAAAAACACCTTAGGGGCGCCTGGCTGGCTCAGTTGGTGGAGCAGGCGACTCTTTTTTTTTTTTTTTTTTTTTTATTCATGAGAGAGAGAGAGAGAGAGGCAGAGGCAGAGGGAGAAGCAGGCTCCCGGTGGAGCAGGGAGCCCGATGCGGGACTCGATCCCAGGACCCTGGGATCATGACCTGAGCCGAAGGCAGACGCTTAACCGACTGAGCCACCCAGGCATCCTAGAGCAGGTGACTCTTGATCTCAGGGTTATTTCCTTCGAGTCCCACTTGGGGTGTAGAGATTACTTAAACAATAAAATCTTAAAAAAAAAACACACACACTTTTTTTTTTAAGGCAATTTCAGACTGAGCCGCATAATATTTGTTACCATTTCTCAATTTTCAAAGACTTTTTTTAAAAAAAAATCCAATATGTCTCCTTGCTGTAAATTAGGAAAAGGACTCCCTCCCTTGAGATATTTTACTTCCACTTTTCAGAAAAACGATCACACTATGCTAATTTTGTTAGGACAAGACACTTCACTGCCATCTGCCAGAAAAATGACATAATAAATATTGAAATCTCTGATTTCTATGATATGAATAGAATCCGCTAGGTTGAACAGTATAGAACCCACGCAACTATTGACACCACCTATATTCTAGACTGAGGTAATTGTAAATAGTATTTTTCACTCCCATGAACATCCACCAGGATTAAAACATTGCGTTGGATGCCAATAAATTCTTTTTTTTTTTTTTTTTTTTTTGCAGGCTGAAAAGCATTCTTACTCCCTCCCCAAATTCCAGTAATCAGTAATACCCTGTAATCATTGGAACAATCACAAACATTCTTAGGCTTTTCCAAAATGCCCCCAGGAAACAACATCCCCCCTTCGAGAACCAGGGGTGTAGATTGGTTGGAAGGAGTGGAAGACGACTTTAACTCTTTATTTTATGCTTTTCTATACAGCTTGAATTTTTTACTATATGCATGCATAAGAAAAGGAATGATTAAAATATGAAAATACAAATTAATTAAATCAGGACACAGAAGAGGAGCTAAATATTAGGGATGGAGGAATGATTCCAAGGAAGACACATAATCTTGATCCCAGTACCTAATAGTAAGAGAGGTCTGAAGTCTACCACAGTCTCCGCAGTAACTAGTTGAAAGAGCCTGGTCCAGAAAGCCAAGAACTTGACTCTGCCTCTAGGAAAATCAACAACCACCCTCCTAGTGTCTTGCATCTCTTAGTAGATAGAGGGCATTGAGTGCAAGAGTGTTCAAGCTCTTTCAGGTGGCGGAGCACCTACAGGTCATGATGCTTTTTGCTGAAGAGTGTTAACTGTTAAAATATTTCATTTTAGGGCGCCTGGGTGGCTCAGTTGGTTAAGCGACTGCCTTCGGCTCAGGTCATGATCCTGGAGTCCCGGGATCGAGTCCCGGGATCGAGTTCCGCATCGGCCTCCCTGCTGGGCAGGGCGTCTGCTTCTCCCTCTGGCCCTCCCCCCTCTCCTGTGCTCTCTCTCATTCTCTCTCTCTCAAATAAATAAATAAAATCTTTTAAAAAAAATAATTCATTTTATCACATAAACTATGCTCTTACATAAACCATTTATTTAGCTCCTATGTGTGGCTTTAAAATGTCAGTTTCGTGAAACTTACACACTACAAAGCACAATGTGAAAACAAAATTACAAATACAGACGGAAAACCAGCTGTCTCAGCATCACTGGCCAGTGCTGAGTTTTCCATGACTACTCCCTTGTTACTTGTTTGTGTTCTTTTATCTGTTGGAGGCACCCAAGTAGTAGAAAGCACAAAAACTTTAAGAAAAATTATGGCTTTGCTGTAGGCCAAAAACTAGTTCAAAATAAAAGATTTTTTTTACATGGTAAAATCCAAATAAAGCTTGCAGTTAGGTTGTGAGTACTATGCCCATGCTGGGCCCCTTGTTTTGACTGTTGTACAGGGATTGTATAGGACATCAACTTCAGGGCACCTGCATGGCTCAGTTGGTTAAGCGTCTGCCTTCAGCTCAGGTCATGATCCCAGGGTCCTGGGATTGAGCCCCACATCGGGCTCCCTGCTCTGCGGGAAGCCTGCTTCTCCCTCTCCCTCTGCCCCTCCCCACTGCTCATGCTCTCTCTCTCTCAAATAAATAAATAATCTTAAAAAAAAAAAAAAGATGTCAACATTAGGGGAAGCTGGGTGAGGGACAAGCTCTCTTCACTATTGTTGCAGCTGTTCTGCAAATCAAAAATCAGTTCAAAATAAAGTTTAAAAATTTATTTAAAAAAATAGGAATACATAGGGCTGATGTAAAATTACAAACAAGTCCAAGGTTAAGAAAATTATGGGAGATGTACAGCATAGTGACTATAGTTAATAATAGTGTAGCGCATATTTGAAAATTGCTCATCACAAGAAAAAAAATTTTGTGTGGTGATGGATGTCAGCTAGACTTGTGCTGGGTTTTTTTTTTGAAATACACACTAATATCAAATCATATATAATACCTCTGTTTTTTTAAGTTATGGGGGAAAACTTGAAATTGAGAATTTTACTTATGTCAATTTTTTCTGCAAATTAGGAGAAGGCAGTTGTTCCATTTCAGTTGAGTGTTTTAACCCTTCTTGAAACTCACCAGAAGGGGCGCAGCTTGGAAAACACGGGTGGTGGAGGCATCAGAGGAAGGGACAATGGGGAAGGGGGGAGGGACCTGAGAATCCAGCATGTCTTTGCTGCTAATTCAATCAGGATAACACCTTCATTTCCTTGTTTGCAAAATGAGGAGGTAAACCAGATCTCTCTTACCTGAGGAGCCTAGAAACATGGATGTTGAAAAGCCCCTCGAGATGTTTATTCTATTCATCCTTAAAAATCTAAGTCAGAAATCACCTCTTCCATGAAGCCTTCCTTGCCAGGAAGAGGTCAGTTAGAATTCTGGAGATGCTATTCCCAGGTGCAGGAAATGTACTTTATAAACCAAAAGGAGCCTACTGGCTCAAGGGTAGACTGTAGTGAATGCCTTAGTGCATCACCCAAATGCCCCTTCAGGAGAAAGGCACACACCCTCCCAGCTGATAGGAGTGTGGGCTGCTGAGGATTCATAGCTGAGTCCTTCCTGGGAAGTGCTCTTAGCTTAAGGGAATTGCCTGCCCAAAGTCACTACCCCCCCCCCCCACTGCAACCTGCATATGCTGTCTGGGAGACTGGGTGGGGGCAGACAGGGTGGTGCAAAGGCCAGTCTCGTTGCCTCAACTTCACAGGATGCAGGATGACTGGGGCCTCTGTAACACTACAGTTCACTACCTCCCTCTGCCCACTTCTGCTGCCTCGCTCCCTCCCAGGTAGGATCCCAAGAACGTTCCCCTAATAAACCACCTACACACAAAACTCTGCTTCGAGTCCATTTTCTGGGGAATCCATCCTAAGACAATCACAAATGCCAATACCTTGGAATTATCCCATCCACTTCAAGGATTTTGTCCTTCATTTCTTTGGGTACAAAGTCACATACACACAGGATAATTTCTTGCAATAGCAACACGTTGTAAACAATATCAATTGGCAGGGGACCCGGGGATCGTGGCTACAATGGAATAATATGCATCTGCATAAAAGAATGAGAACACACTCGATGTCATGACAGGACACAATCTTCAATACATAAATTTTAAGTGAAAAAGCAATGTATAGAAGACTGTATAATATGCTACCATTTTGTTTTAAAAAATAAGAATATATATATGTACATGTTTATACAGTCATAGAATATTTCTAGAAGGACCTCAAAGAAACTGGAAACACTGATTGCCTCTGGAAAGGCATTTGGGTGAATGGGGAGTTTTCTTGTTTTTTTACTCCATAGCTTTTTGGAGCCTTTTGGAATTTTGAGCTGTATGAATACATAATCTATTCAAAACTAAATAGATGAGGGAGGCCTGGGTGGCTCAGTCAGTTAAGCGTCTGCCTTCAGCTCAGGTCATGATCCCAGTGAGATAGAGTCCTGCATCCGGCTCCTTGCTCAGCAGGGAGCCTGCTTCTCCCTCTCCCTCTGCCTGCCACTCCCCCTGCTTGTGCTCTCTCTTTCTCTGACAAATAAATAAAATCTTAAAAAAAAAAAAAAAAACTAAACTAAATAGATACAAGTAAAGCAAAATAAAATAAATGTCAAGAACTGAAAAGAGGCCTTTGGGCTTGGAGAAGAGTAGCCATGGAGGGTTCTTAGGAAGAGGTTTCAACAGAGTTATGGCAACAGTACATTTCAGGGGGTGAGGGACAACAGGAAGAGAGGAAGTGAGAGGAAGTCAAAGGATGCCCTTCTTTCGAGATGTCTGGGACAGTAGGCAGCATAAGTTTCCTCTGTACCCCCGATTCCCACCTTCACAGGTGCACTCAGCCAAACAAAGCGCCTTCATGGGCTGGCCAGCAGCCTGGGAGGTTGCCTAGCCCCCCAAATTCTGCCCATCCAGGAAAACACTTGGCCAAATTTCTCTCCTTTCAGCTTTTGAACGGAAATATGTAAAGGATCAAGTAGAAGCCAAAAGGCCAAGCCAGAAAGATGCAGAGAGAGGCTGTCGGACAGGGGGGCGGTGGCAGGCCATGCGTGGGCCAAAGATGGGTGTGACATGAAGACAAGACCCACAGAGCAGCAGGCGAGGAACAGTCCAAGCCAAGAAGGTAGCTGAGTCATAACAATGGCGATTGCACAGGGCGAAGCCTGAGAGCCATCAGTTGCTGCTCCTGAGCCGGCCAGGCCTGCCTTAGACGAGAGGGTCACAGAGTGTGGGCCTCAGACCATAGCATCAGCCTCACCTGCGAGCTTGTTAGAAAGGCAAACCCTGGGGGCGCCTGGGTGGCTCAGTCGTTAAGCGTCTGTCTTCGGCTCAGGTCATGATCCCAGCGTCCTGGGATCGAGCCCCACATCGGGCTCCCTGCTCCGCGGGAAGCCTGCTTCTCCCTCTCCCATTCCCCCTGCTTGTGTTCCCTCTCTTGCTGTGTCTCTCTCTGTCAAATAAATAAATAAAATCTTAAAAAAAAAAAAAAAAAAAGAAAGGCAAACCCTGGTCTGACTAAATCAAAAACTCTGGAGGTGAGGCCTGGCAATCTGCGTTTGAACAAGGCCACCAGGTGATTCTGATGCACCTGCGAACCACTGCCTGAGACGTTAGACCCAGGCCCAGCTGCACGAGGGCTCCTGAGTATGGATTCCTGGTGGTGAGAGTCTTGACAACGCACCCCACCGCTAAAGCTAGCAGAAGCTCTCTAGCAGATGATCTTGTTTCCTACATCACAAGAGCCTAATTAACATAGCCTTACCCACTAGGCAAGTGAACTCCTACACTTAGTTGAAGCTTCAACTCAAGGGCCACCTCCTCCAAGAAGCCTTCCCTGCAGATCTCTCGCAGTCTAAGCTAAGTGTCACTCCTCTGTGCTGCCACCCCTTTAACCTCTAGCCTAACACTTACCACCTTGTCCTGTAATCCGGGGTTTATTAATTCACGTCCCACCAGAGCGAGACTGTGTCTTCACTGTATCTTCAGCGCTGGGAACTCAAATAATATTAGTTATCAATAGCTATTATTATTAAGCCCTCAAGAAATAAATGCAATATATATATTGAATGATTATTATTTTCCATGAATCACAGCAGCTTCCTTAAACAGTGCCGAACTCCTCTCTTTTGACGTTTCCCAGCAAGGCAAGCCTGCTGAGCCAAGGGATAATTGTTACTAATGGGCTGTGACAGCTCCTGAGCTGAATTAACCCTTTGTTTCTGTGCAAGGAATTCCAAGTAGTTAGCAGGTAATCGTGGACAGGAGCGGCAGAAGATGGCCAGAAGGCATGCCCAGCCAACTCTGTGTTTGAGGGCCAGGTAAAAGGTCCCCTCTCTCAAGGATTCTGCCTAGCAGGGAGGCAGACCCATAACAGACCTTGAGAACACAAAGGGTAAGTTTTACAAGGATGACACAATAAAAAGATAATAAAGGGAGGGGACAAGAAAATACGTAGTATGTATGCATAACATATAATTAAGTTAGCCAAAACCAGGAGTAGATAAATAAGAGAGAATCGCATAGCTGCTCCTCCCCTCATTTCTAGAACAGGTCACAAGGCTATAGTTGATATTTATGACTTTCTCCTTCCACTACCCCATCCCTGTTCCATTTGCCCTGGTGACGTGACCCAAAGCTTCAATTCCTGAAAGGTCTGCAACCCCGGTGGGCTTGCCTTTTTTAGTCGCTGTACTTTAACACTAACTTCTATTATTGGACATGGAAGTACCAAAAGGCACCCAGAGAATGCCCAGGGTCCAGGCACAGTCCTCTTTGCCCCCGTTGTGTGGCAGCAACCAAACTCCCCCAGGTCACTGGGATCAATCACTCCAGCCACATGGTGCTCTCATCTTCCAATTCCATGGAACCATGATGGCGTCCCCCAGCGGAAGCCTTCCTCTCTTGGGCACTAAGACCTCCAAGCCAACAGAGCCCAGAGTTGCAGGAACAACAGGCAAAAATTCTGTGCATGGGTTAAG